TAATTCTCGCTCGCTCCCGTTACGAAAAATCAATAACACTCTCCTGTTACCGATATTTCATACATGCAGCACGGAATACAACCAAAATTGGGCACTGCATTACCCGCTTGAAAAATGGGCGTAGCACGGACACGCACCAAGTGGAGACTTTATCGGCAATCGAGCGAAAACGGTAACAATTGCAAAACACCGGCATGGCCGCTCTCAGGTTTCTCTCTGCTACAAGTCCCTAGACCTGCTCTCGAGTGTCCCCTTTTTACACCTGTTGCCAATCGAAACAAGTATTCCACATTTCCACGATTTCCGTGTGCACGTTCGCGAAACTCGAAAGAAGGAAACGAGAGCACGTGCGATCGGAAAGTACAATTTGGAGCAGGACCGACTGATGCGGCTTCACATGATCTCGATCACGAAAGCGTTCGCGAGGGGAGCGAACTACGGCGGTGTACGCGACGGCGATAAGTGGTCCGGGACAAACAGGCTACCTACGTCAGCCGCGGCCCGGACCGAATGGAAACGCAAAACGATGTCGCGCGATAACCGCGTATCTACGCGTGTCAGTCAGCCGTGACTTCTCCACGCTCGTGTCGACCTTTCGTGACCTCGTGACTATCGCTCGTCATCTTGTGCCTCGTCGACTCGACGAGCAGGTGGGATACGCGACGAAACGATTCATAACCAACAGCTCGGTCAGCGATTAGATCTCGCCTTCGCAAGAACGCTTCTCGATAGACCTGATGATCGACGGGCGATCGTCAGCAGAAACAACTCTGAATTTCTCGTAGGTGCGAAAGAAAAAAAAAACAACGCAAGTTTGCATCCTCGGGTGTCGGAGTCGAGGGCTCCGTGAATGTTCTAATTATTTACTTTCAAAGGATTACGTAATTGCGCGATGTATAGAGGAAATTGCGACCAAGTCCTGCAAAATCTAAATATGAACCAACTAATAAGGAATCCTCAGTGTCGCCAGCGATAATTAACGACATCCTGACTATACCTGGCAAGTTTTAGTAATACAGAAGTAGGGAGGTCCAGGTTCAAACTCTGGATGAGGTAATACTTCTCGCAATAAATTTTCGGTATTATTAAAAATGCCAGGTATAGTCGAGAAAATACTGATGTTTCTAAATATGAACCGTAGGAAATAAAATGGACCATTGAATCGAGTCTGCTCTTTCAGAACTTGGAACTTCTTGCGCAGTTCATATTTCCATTTTTTTGTCTTGACGTGATGAATAGGAGGAAAAGATCTGCCATATAAAAAACTCGGGTGAAATGAACAGATGCATAATCTAAATGAAAACAAAGATGTATTTTATGTCTTGACCTGTAGGACCTAAGAACAAATTCGATTCGTTCGTTTCATTTCCTTCAATTTTTAGTTTTTGTACCGTGAATTATTTTTAGTTCTAAATGTTGTGTCTACTTTCCTCGTAGAAAGAGTAGATCAAATTTATTACAAGAGTCGTCGATACGCTGAATCATTACAGTGTAAAGATTTGTTACATTTTTGTTTTTTTTTGTAATAGAACTGCACTTTTTATCTTTCTCTTAATTTTTCTCAGTGTCCAATTATATACCAAGTTCATGTCAAGTGCATAAAAGCGATACAGCTAAGGGACAGATCTGTTGCGATTAAACAGCAGTGTTCACAATCGTTTCCTGTAAGAAATCTCCTTGTTCTTTCTGATTGAAACATTAATTTCTTTCCTCATTTCAAACTGATGACCGACCACCCAGTGCATGATACGCTCTGGGCCGTGCGTAGCTCCCTTTCACAATTATCGTTTGAGCTTCCCAAATATTGGCTGACTTAAAAATGTCTCTAGCCCCTGCTGCTCTAATCTGTCATCTTTCGATATCGCTTTATCAGCTTTGTTATCTTTAAAGTTTGACTGTATTACCGGTTCTCGTCTTTTCTTATTGTTCGGACGAAATTAAACAATTCACATATAAATTGTATGAAAAATTTCAAAGGCTTGGACTCCTTTGAAGATGACTTGATAGAACAAGTTTCTGTGAATGGATCTAAGCCTTTATATAGTTTTTTCCATTCTGGCGTAGATAAATTCATTCACAGCGTTTATTTGTTCTCATTATTTGGAGACTACAACTTCAATAAAATTTTAAGATGTATCCAGATACATTTGTACACTTTTTTTCGCGCTCGCCACTTCTTTTATTCTCAAGACTTTAGGATTTTTTTGCAGCTATGCTTTCTTCTCATTTTGTCTCAAAGATTGAATGAAACAATAATTAATTTCAACTCGTAGGTACGAGCGAATTCGGTGGAAAAGAAAGTACGTTTGACAGTCCAGTCTTCTCGGATCTCTTCATAAACGCAAGGATTCGACAAGAGGAGTTCGACGATTTCAGGCCGTTATCGCCGCGCGGAAAAGCGAAAAGGGTCGTTGGATGAGAAGTGACCCCACACTGGCATGTGAAGTACATCTCACGTTTTCGATTGTAGTCACGTTTAAATCACGTTTCGTCGGCCGATAAGCCTGGAAACTTTTCTTGCACGAGCATGCCCCGATATGCAGGGTCACCCCATTGACCTCGACAGTGGCGAAACAAAGATAAACGGGGACGTAAGTAGAGCCGCAGCACGTTTCAAACGTGATTCAGTATCGCGCTAGTGTTACAGACGGCCTCACAGACGGGGGCAAATTTTTCCACCTCGAACAAACGACGTCGAGTTATGAAATTGTCAAAAATTAATCGAGACTATTAGCCGAGTAAACGAGTCGCGTGCTAATACAACAGGTTTACGGAGTTTTTTTTTCAATTCCAATCGCAGTTTCAAGAATAAACTTCCAAGACTTTTTCTAAGATACTCTTTGTATTGTGAGATCGGTATTAAATATTAGCGAGTATTTGAGATTCGGTAGTGAATACAAATTTCCGAATCGTTATACCATCATGGAAGCTCTGGGAACTGTAAGTATCTCGAATTGTGGATAATTTTTAGAAGTCAAATTTATGCATTGAATCGATCTCACGTATATTTATTGGGACATTGCACAATGCAATGGATAACGAAAATATTTTCAAACTTTATTTCTTTGGCGATTTTTCATGCAAAATAGTAGTACTGTTAGTATAGTATATATCTATTTTAGTATACAATTATATACTGTATTTGTATAACATACACAGTATATACTTATTATATACTATACAGCACTACAGCATAATACAATAATGCTATAGTATAGTACACACCTGGTACAAATTTTTTCATGTATGAACGTAAATATACAGAATTATATAAAAATATATTACACATCAAATATGTCCATACATATTTTTACATTGTATATTTCTATGTATAATTTTATACAATTCTACACAGTTCTGTATAATTATTATAAATATTATAAAATTTCTTTTATATAAAATTATGTAGAACTGTGTAGAATTGTATAGAATTATATAGAAGTATACAATGTAAAAATATGTATGGACATCATTTTATATAATACTGTATATTTATGCATTTCTATGCATAAACAATTTTTACCGGGCATATTATACTAATTAATATGGCACTGTCGTTATAAAATAAACACTTCACTCAATATTACAAAATGAAAAACTATCCTGTTGGAAACGTTTTTAGCAATTCTTTCGATAAGACAATATTCTTTCTTTTTTAATTATCCCATGAAAGATAAGATATATAAGTATTTTTTAAACCTATTGTATATCTTGAAGCGGATTCAGTACCGCGACGGGGACAGGTTTTCCACCTCTCGAGCAAACGGCATGGTCGAATTATGAAATTGACAAAAATTAACCGAAACTGCTAGCCGAATAAACGCTCCGAGTCGCTACTAATATAACAGACTTTCGAGTGTTCATCACGTCTTAGTTTTGTCATTTTTACAACGATGGAACCGAATGGAAGGCTCTATCGCTGCACATGTTGAGATGCTTCTCAAAAGAATATTTTCTTCTATTCGTGAAATATACGTGATAAATTATAATTTTATCACGTTACATAACGTATTCGTACCAATTATCGCTGGTGTCTAGAAGATTGTTTAAAAATTATTAATATAAAGATAAGAAAGATAGCGATTTCAAGTTTCTTAATAAAGAAGTTTTCGTTAGTGCCATCTTGTGCGATACCTCACATTGCGAAAGATCGAAATCGTGACCGCGGACCTCCCGCGAAGAAGGAATCGACAAACAAGAAGAAGAATAAGGCGACCGCTAAATCGTCAGACATTTTATTAATAAACCGTATCGTTCGATACGCGCGCAAGCGGATGACAAATTTACGTCAAAAGAAGTTTATCAGTCTGACGAAACCCTGTTTTCGCCTTCGCATATCGGCAAAAAGTAGAAAACAAATGGGTCCCCTGTGGCGCGAGACGCCGACATCGTCAATCGCAAAAGTCGCGCGATGCCCCGCGCTATTAGAGATATCCGTGTGCGCGAATTAACGTATCAACCCCTAGCGAAAAAATAGCTGTTTGCCACGCGGCGATAACCTCGGGTCACCTTATGACGATAATTATTGATACCGCGCACTCGGCCGAGATCTTTCACCGCACGTGAGTGAACTCGTGCGGCGAGAGATATAATAATCGCTCACAACGATTGAGCTTCGTCCTGCGGTCCAATGGACCAGGTCGTATGCGTATACAATCTTCGGACAAGTCTTTGATTCCTTTATAAAGTAACAAGCAAACAATTTATACAATAAAAGCAAAATAGATTATTTTCCTTACACATACACAAAGCGCTGATTTGAATATTGCATAGCAGTGTCGAATAGTTGAGTGCCGTCTCGATATGAACTGGAGAATCAATCGCTATGGATAGATATCGTAAAATTAAGAACGCAAGTTTTAAGATAACTTGTAGGCAATGACGAATTCAAATTCGTCAAAGCCTTTTCTAATGACATCCCTATTACAGTATCCGATTTTGAAGTCCTTCTTGGCGGGCTCGTTCTCTGGAACATTCTCTACGATCCTCTTCCAGCCGCTGGACTTGGTGAAGACCAGGCTTCAAAGCAGAGTCAATGCTCCTGTTGGGTAAGATTAAAGCTTATCGTTGTAGATAAAGTCCAGATAGGTTCTTTCGTTCTCGATATAATCGACATCCTCTTCAAATTCTAAATTTTTCCAGGTAGAATTTAAATAATACAAGTCGATAACATGGTAGACGAGAGAATATATGTAGATAACATAATGGCACCCTTAGATTAAAGAGAAAAGGAGACGATCAGAACTGGAGGAAAAAAGAAAAGTTCGAAGTCCCTTGATATGTAATTTCAAGTTTTTATGTCCAGTTAATTTTATCAATTTGAAATTTAATCCTTTTTAATTCTCTCTTCGCGAGTTTCGATTTAAAAATGATTTCAAACTTTTATTTTTGAAATAATTGCCAATCAACTTTCCGGATTTGTTAACAGAGCGCCAAAAAATGGAATGCTGGGTACAGTGGCGCACATCGTTCAGAAGGAGAATATCTTTGGACTTTGGAAGGGCATGACACCGGTAAGACGTCGCTCTGAAGATTAACGCTTGAATGTTGATTTACATTGATATTATAACATGATGTGAATGTTAATTTACAGTCGATAACTAGAGTGATTCCTGGCGTGGGTTTGTACTTTTCGTCACTACATTGGCTGAAACACGCTTTCAATCTGGAGGAACCTCTGACGGCTTTGCAGGCCATTTCTTTGGGTATCACCGCACGGTCCATGTCCGGTGCACTGCTGATTCCTATCACCGTCGTGAAAACGCGGTTCGAGGTGTGTTAAGAGAAAAGGAGATAACATAGTGGGACCCTTAGATTAAAGAGAAAAAGGGACGATAAGAACTGGAAGAAAAAGAAAAGTTTTAGCATAAGAACTTTTGCAAAATTGTGCTGTTAACATTATTCCTGAAATTCAAAACGTGCTTTTGTAATAGCTAGAAGGTATAAAAATATTCCACAAGTTTCGATCAAACAGGAATTTGATGACCTTTGATCTTTTTACATTGAAATTTGAGTAGATTGTATAAATATTATTCTGTATTGTGCAGAGCGGCGTTTACAAATACAGCAGTATCAGCGAGGCTCTTACGTTGATCTATAAGCAAGAAGGAGTGAGGGGTTTATCGAGTGGCCTGGTACCCACTCTTCTGCGGGATGCGCCTTACAGCGGTTTATACCTTATGTTTTATACCCAATTGAAAAACGCCGCTGCCAGTACAGGTATTTCTTACAGCTATTTATTGGTTATATTAATTTATGCTAAACGATGATATTCAATTAATTATTCGTCAACATAAAATGCCTTACATAAAAATTATGAAGTTATTTCTAACTTGATATTATAACTTGTCGATATTCATAAAAGTTTTGAATAAAAAAGATTGAAATCTCATTAATGATAAATTATTCTCTTGATAGGAGGAATGAACAATTCGTCAGCACCAGTTCACTTCGGCTGCGGAATCCTGGCTGGAATTTTGGCGTCCATAGTGACGCAGCCACCAGATGTTGTCAAGACGAAGATGCAGTTATATCCGAACGAATTCAATGGTATCTATCAGGCGACATTGTTCGTTTATAAAAAGTACGGCATCTTGGGATATTTCAAGGGTATTGTTCCTAGAATGCTGAGGCGGACTTTGATGACTACTATGGCATGGACTGTGTACGAACAGGTAATTCGAGACATTAAGTAAAGATTTGACAGGAAAAAAATGTTCAACCTCTAAATCTTGCGAAAATAATGTTTACATTTATCAAAGTTATGTGTGATACTATTACTATTAAATGTTAAAATTTCATAAAAATTTTTTTGAGTAGATATATTTTGCACCAAAAAAAAAAGGATTTAATTTGTGAGAATAATTAAACAATGTACATTTTGTGTTATTCAGGTCACGAGGCAAATGGGTTTGAAGTGAACGCTGTTGTTGGACAAGCTGTTTTACATGGGAAGATGTACAGTATTATAGCATAGACTGTTTATGTATTATAAAACTCGCACTTATATTTAATAAATTATATATATTTTTATATATATCATTGTTTATAGCAACAATTCTTCTTATATAGATTTTTCGCTTCGTACTTTGTTCTCTTTATCCCCCATTAATCCAAGTAACGCTATCTTTTAGCAATATAATTGCGATGAAAACCTGATACACAGATCCGAATTAAAGTTTTAATCCCAAAACGTAGGATTAAAACTCTTTGCTAAAAAATTACCCGGCTGTTCGCGCGTTTTCATAAAAACGTGCACGAGATAAAAAGAAGAGCAAGAGCAGAAAAATACGTGGCATTGTTTTATTAATTCCAAATAACAATCTTACGAGTATTATTATTGTTACAACGCGGCACAGCAAATACAAATTGTATCATACAATTTATTTTGCTGATGATTCTGTTTATGTATAGACGGTCTAAAATAACAATTGCTCGGGACACGAGTTATATCGATTCTAACGTATCTGTGACCTTAACGCAAATTTCTTCATCGTCTGTTCACCCTCACACTCTCTCACACTCTTTTTCTTATTGTTAAGATTATGCAAAATCTTTACCTTAACAATATGTTTAACGATGTCTTGGAAGAGTTCCCGTAGTCCCGCTCTCCCCTGGTCCTTCTCTTCTTCCTGAAAATAGATAATCCACACTTTAGCGAAAGTGTCATCGGCACTTCGCGATACAATGTAATAGCCAAAGATTATTCAATGATAGTCTCATGTTGGCAAAAACCCTGTCCCTCTGTCGACTGTGTGTTTGTTTAACAAGCGCACGAGATCCTCACGAGGGGATTACGAACTAAATTGTCTTGATTAGGAACGTCTAAAGACACGCAGATCGCTAGGTCAACTTTCATTGTCTGGGGAGGTGACTCATTCACAAAATATCTAAATAATTGAATATATCATGTCTTTAAATTTGATTTTTAAAATAGATATTAGTCTCCCATGGATGTTAGGCAAATTCTCCATTATAATTACCTATGTATCTTTCTTTAATCTCTGATAGCTTTGCTAAGAAGCGGCATTTCCGTTTAATTCTTTTTTTAGAACAGCGAAGGAACGTCAGTCTTGCAGGAATATGTGCGGGCCTATATACCGGCGATTTACAGATCCCTACATCGTTAAAAATTTCGCATCTCGAAGATCGTCAGATCATCAGCTAAGCCAGGGATCCAACGGGACACGAGAACGAGGGGACAATTCTCCTGGCAGAAGGACATGTGTTTGATATTATCATTCCGGCATAAATACCTCGTCAATTGCGTGGCAGAAGCGAGAGGTTCGTATAGTCACAGTCACACGTTTGCAGGGCGCACTCACAGTTGTGCACACGTGCATTTGCAGTCGTGGACGAAGCTCTATGAAGCGGGCACTGAGAGCTGTGTCCCCTCCACACTAAACCACTAAATCTCTTACTCTCTCTTTCTCTCCCTCTCTCCTCTCTCTCTTTCTTAATGACGCGCGGGAGATTACGGCATTAATGAACCTATGGAGTCTTGTGCCCGAGAAGCGAAAAGAGTCGAGTCCGAAATTATTGGCTTTTATCGGGGTTTCTCTTTATCCTTTGTGTCGCCGTAACGAGAGATACGGCGATCTTTTGTAAGTTACGAGTGGAAAAGCGAGGTAAATTTCCCAAGAGCAAGCCCCGAATTCAACTCAATTGTCTGAAAACAAAACGCGATAAGACTATGTACAATAAAGAGAAAAATGCTGTATATTTGTTTACAGAAACAATTCGTTTTATTTTTAAATAAACAGTATGAATTTGTTATGCTGGATGAGTTTCAACCTGATTGCGTTTATTCACATTCATTTCGATTCGTCTTGAAAGCGCATATCCGCAATTCCGTAGATCTTCGCGGGCTTCTCCTGGAAAAAAACGAATTCTTGGACTAGTGCTCTCCCTCTCTTGCTGCTCGGGTACAGAGATATTAACCGATGAAAGCAAGCATAGGTATACCTCCCCCCAGCTTGCTTCGCAAATAAATCGAGAATGCACGGAATGATATAGGAATGGTTGTGTAAGAGAACAAATTGAACTTCCATACGCAATAATTAAAACGTTCTTCACTCAAATGATAAGTTTATTACCAAGAGTCGAATTTACTGCCAAAAGTCCTAAAAATATTTTCCAGAGCGATGCAATTTTACATTGTTAAAAGCCTTTAAAGTGTTCGAAAAAATTAAATTTAGACCAATTCGAGGGAAAAGCTACGAGTATAAATGTATCTTAAAGTTTTTTCAAGAAATCACGATAGTGTAACTGAGATGTCGTAAAAATAAAAAAACTTATAAAGACACGTGTAAATTTAATTTTCTCGACTTTGAGACTCTACAAAAGCATATCAGACTACTGTTACGCTGAAGCACTTTGTCTCTTTAATAGATATTTACAATATTACATAGTTAAGTACAGCTAGCAATTTTGCCCACTCGGCGTTACATACTTGATTGCGCCAGTGACAAATTTAAGAAAAAAAAGAAGGAACATAGTCCATTCTTCGAATCTTACGAGAGGTATTTATTCATTCTATTCTGGAAGATCGGACAGAGAGAGGCGGAGAGAGACCGAGTTTGTTTCAGAGAGAGCGAGATGAACTTGCTGTGTGACTTACGCGGCGCTTCAAACATCACAGATTATATTATCATGTATATGTATTATGTGCATCGGAATGGCAACTCACCTGGATCGAGAGAGTACCTGTACAGTAATTGAGACGAATATGGTTATATTGTTTGGTGCATACCTGGCTTAACTTCTCACTCACTAACCAATCAAGAGAAGTTACTTGTGACTTCGACTTCGCGAGCGGTGACGGCGGCGGTTATGATGGCTTGAGCTTCGATGATCACGATTTCCTGAAATCATTATCATTGTATCATTCTAGAACACATCTGTCCGATGTACAGGATGCAATCGCAATACGGCAGCGCGCTAGATCAACGCTATCGCTTACCTTTATCTCGACCGTGACGTCGATGGCTATCCTCGTCCCGGTGGTGCTTGTCTCGCGATCTACTTCTACTTCTATGCCCAGAATTTCTGTAACGAGCAACGTCTCCGTTAGAGGCTCATTTGACTCTCGAACGTTACACTTTTGTTGGAATGTGAAAATCTAACAAGGAACACCCTTCGGAAAAGTAAACATGCAGGACTGGACTCTTAGTGAACGTAAAAACTTGTCTAATTGACGATTATCTTTCGAAGCTCGCTGCGTGGAGAGACTTATACCTATGACCGCTCGAATCATGACGGTTCTTGTCGTCGTCCATTCGCCTGCGACGCTTGTCCCTGTCTCTGTCGCGATCTCTATCTCTGTCACCGTCTCTCCGCCGTCTGTCGAGTTCCTCATTCGCTCGCGCTCTCTGTTTCCGTTCTTCCTCTCTTCTCTGCTCCTTCTCGTCGCGCGCTTTCTCGCGCTTGTTCTACAAAAAAAAAGATTTCGATTTAAGTCTTCGACTCGAGAGAGAGAGAGAAACATATTTAATACTGAAAACGATCAGACATATATCTCTACCATAATCTCCTGAAGAGCGCTCTTCAATCTGGCGTAGCCGACATGCTGCTTTCCCATTAAATGATCATCAATCCGTTGTTGAGCATCGCCCACGATAAGAAATGCGCCGCACACGTCGCACACCTCCATTTGTTTCTCCTGCGCGGCCGCTAGTTCGGCAGTCTGCAAATAAATGCTGTTAGTACAAAAATTCGAGTGGCGAATCATAAATCACTTGTAATTATTTATTCCCACGAAGCTACGTGGAGACCGGTCATATATTATAATTTATATAAAGCCAAGTGATCGTAAATACAAAATTAACAGTTGAGCAACGAGCGTATAACGTGATTATTGATAGTACTAGATAATAAAGATCGAAATTTCACAATTCGGACTTTGCATTGCAATGTCTCCACTCATGGGGCACGCAGGAGAAACATAAAACCACTTTTATTATGCAAATCGAATCCAAGCCATCGATTGAGCGCACTTAGAAGTTCGTCGGAGCAGCCGTTGCCGAGATCCGAAAATCTGAGGGCCCGTCAACTCGCGTAAACTACACGGTCGGGCTCGCGCGCGCAGTTCTAGCTATGCTTATACTTGGCGCGAGACACTACGGTGTCTTGTGATAGGCTCGTTTTCTATTGCCGCGCTGGTGAACCACCGCAATAAATTAGAGTAAGACAAGTACATTTTTTCTCATTCTAGCTTATGCGGCGCCGAGTTAACCCCCTAAAACCACTACGATGACCCTGTGTTGTGGAAGCTATGAGGGCACGGCACTAGGCAATCTTCCCCACAGCCTCCTTAGCTTTACTGGTTCACCAGTGCAGCAATGGAAAATATGCCTTATATTCAATGGATTACAATTCGTGGGAACAAATTGACAATTGGTGAACGTTTAGACTCCAATTTGAGTCGTCTTCAGATACATTTTCAAAGGCCAAGTCTCGCGATCTCGGTCACAATAGTCCCACGCTCACTTGATTGTAATGACTGTTGTCATTGGACTTCCTCAGGGTCTCGCGCTCTTCCTTCAACTGGTCGCAGAGACGCATCAAGCCCTGCGCCTGCTCCACATTGCCTTGAATGCCGCTCTGCTCGGCCTCCTCCACCAGCTTGTTTATCTTCTCCGTCAGCAAAGCGATCTGCTCCTCGTTCCTCTGAGTCTGGGCCGGGGTCAACGTCGGCTGCGCACAAAGACGAATTAAAATTACAATTCCGCGGCTGCAAACCAACTTTCTAGCGAAACTTACTGCTTCTGTTCTCCCAATCAGTGCCAACCGCTGCTTCCCCTTTATGATCTTTCTCTCCACCTCGTTTAACATACTCTGACAATACCTGATAAACTCATCCTCGTATTGCTGTTTACGATACGAATGCGGCGCCTTTTCAAACAGTTCCCTGGCCTCGTCGTCGTGTACCTTGGGGCACGCACCCAAGTCCGCTCTTGTATTAACAAACAAGTCATGGGGACAGAATTTCACCAGGTACAGCTTGCAAAACTAAAATGCAAGAGGACATAAATATAATACATAAAAAAATTGCAAGTGTAAAATAATAATTAACAAAGAAAAGTTCGAGTACTAACAGGTGTTATAATTAATTAATGAAATTTGTTCACCTACGAGAGAGATAAAATATTGCGTACGTCGACGACATCTTTTAGTGTTCGAACTTTGCCTGTGATCTTCTTTCGCTCGGTTTTACATGCGATAAAGGTCTGTTTTATTTATTTCAGATAATCAAAGCCAGCGGCACACAATACTATTTTACCTGCTGGATTTCTCGCGAGAGCCAATAAGACCCGGTTTCACCAACGTCGTTTAACTTTGAGCTTAGCTTAACTCGTTCTTTGCCTCCTTCTAAAGTAACAGTTGAAAAGAGACAAAGAACGAATGAAGCTAAGCTTAAAGTTAAGCGACGTTGGTGAAACCGGACCTCAGACTGCAGTGTTTTAGATCCCGATCCAGCAGGCAAAATAGTATCGCACGCCGAACAGAAGTTTAAGGAAATCAATACGACTGCATCTATGCTTAATATTCTAATTTTTCAGGATTGGTAAACTCTTCAAAGAATCCTCTCGCGGAGAAATGAAACGTGTTTACTGGTTTAATCTATGTATAAAATATATACATTATATGTATATGAAAGTGAAATTCTGTCTGTCTGTTCTTTATACAATTTTGTATCAATGGACCGAGCGGAACCAAGCTTGGCACAGTTTTATTCAGTAGGATTCTGCGAAAAATATAGGCTACTTCTTAATTTAGAAATCCAAAAGTACCGTGCACTAAAATCAATATCAATTTTCGCCCGCTGAAATCAATAAAATGTTGTATGCCGTACCTAGGAGTAATTGTAATAATTAAACTGAGAATTTGTGCATTTATATGAGTTCGAATAGGTCAAAATTATCTTGCACAAAATTGAAAACAACTTTTGCCCATTAATATCAATTAAACGTTATTACGGGGCACCTTAGAATAATTGCAATAATTAAAATGAAAATTTGTGCATTTACAAAAGTGCGAATAGGTCAACTTTGCGCAGTGGGGAAAACATAAAATTGCGTGCGGGCATCTCAGAGATGCGAGTGAACTGTCTCTGAAATGTCAGTTTTTTCAATGACGACAGTAGCTGAGTCAACTTTTCCCGTCGGGAATGAAACACCGAGTAAATTTGCTTCATGGGAAATGGGCAAGACGCCGATCAACGCTGTAAAAAACCCAGGGTGTCCAGCAAACTCGATGAAAAAAATTCCTCGACTTTTTCAGGTTTTCCAGGAGCCGGCATTAATTTTTCCCTGACCATTTACTGTAACTTTTTTCAAGATGCACAGTTTGCGCACATCTGTATGGTAAATCAAGCAAATGTTAAATGTCGGAAGTCCTTAAAATAGTTTTCATGGGAAACAAAAATCCGGAATTTAAAAAGGTCAACATTTAAATTAAAGCAATTACACGACTATGTATGATACATTGTGTAACAGGAACAAACATATCACTACAAACCATTCGAACCATTTGTGATACCGTACGCAATCATATATGATGCTTTCGTTTTGCTTAACTGCATTTTGTTTGCAACTTACTAGATAGTACTGTTTAGTAATTTATCTTTTTTCTAGTTTCGTCTCAGTTGAACACATTGAAATAAAATAACACGACGATGAAAATATAAATTACCGACCACGCTTATAAATAAATTGATGTTTAGCAAGGCAGAAAATTAGTGCACTGAGAGGCAAAGAAAACTTTAAGGTCCAGTTTCACAAACGTCGGTTAACTGTTAACCAGAGTTCAGTCGACTTCCTATCTTTCTCTGTCTTGTTATCCAAGAAGAGACAGAGGATCAATTAACCTTCGGTTAGCGGTTAAACGACCTTTGTGAAACTGGCCCTTAATGATTCAGAAAAAATGTTAAACGATGTAAAAATTCCAGATAAATCGTTAAATCTCCTGACTTTTCCCTGACAATTCCCGGTTTTCCAGACTTCCCTGACCACTGGACACCCTGAAAACATTCTTGGTGTGAGACAAAATATTGTTCTACAGCAATTTTTGCATCAACCTAATAATTTAGTGAATATATTTAAAAAAACGGCGTTGAAAAAAATACCTACGGATGAAGATAAAGTTGTTACTCGAGTGGACAAGAGACCAGTTGAGGAACACGGAAGAAGTTTTAATGCTCCAACGTGATAAAATTATTCAAAAACGGAGTGAAGTGAAATATGTGAATAGGAAACAATGAAACGTCCAAAAGAAGGAGATTCCAAAAATGAAAGAGCCGAGCGAAGCCGAGCGAGCGTTAGTAACCAATAAGCTTCCTCTCGATGGTCGAGTCTAGCTCTTAAGCCCAATGTCCATGATGCTAGAACTTGGTCCAAGTCCTTGGTTCGAGAAACGTATAGCCAATAAAATTGCAGCTTTTCCGTAAAAGCTACAAATCGATTGGTTCCAAATCTCTCAATCCAAGAACTCGGACCAAGTTCTAGTATCGTGGACATTGGCCTTTAAAAGTGAGCAACCATACAAGACCCCAAGTTAATTTGTAAATATTTTTTAGCTTGAATCCCAGCATCTGCCGGGCCTTCCAACGATACAAACCTCGCTCTGTCACACTTACTTACACGTAAGGCGAAATCAGACACGAAGTACCAAGCTTGGAGTAAAAAGAGAAAACAATAGAATGTATAAAAAGTCGAAGGAGCAGGACTCTGGCTTCGAGAAATCTCGCCGATATCAAAACTTAGAAAGGCGCAATTGTGAAAATTCTCGTCTCGTTCGTGTCTCGGGGCCTCGAGAGATTTCCGCGGCGGACGTCGAGAGTGCCATTGTCAAGGGAGACTGTTAACGCGAAAGGGATGGGGAAAAATTATCGAGACAGAGTCGAGATTTTGCGAAGCGGCCCCCGGGAGGCCTCTCGAGAATCGAGTCCAGCGTCGACGCGCGCGCGCTCACCTCCGGATCCTCCCAGTTGAGTTCCTTGGGTTTCTCGTTGGGCAGGACGTTCCTGTTCCTGCCCATGAGCTCGTCGAGCAGCGCGGCAGCCGCCGCGGCGGCCATTTTCCTTTGGACTGCGCTACGACGATGCCGCGAGGTCGGGTCTCGCGCGCGGAATACTCGGAGCTCGGCCGCAGGACTCGCCGCGAAACGAAAGAAGAACACGTTGCTGACCCCTCCCCCGTCGAAGGTGAGGCTCGACGACGCGCGGGGGGAAACCTCGACGATATCGACGGAACTCAATCGCAAGACACAGCGGCAACAACTCACTCGTGACAGTTGCAAAGCGGGACTGCAGTTTCGCCACTAGATAGCGTCCGTTGTCCACGAACTATGAAGACACACTCCCATATTTTTCTACCGCCATATTGCATATTGCGGCAAATCAGCCTTGTCCAATAGGCACGCAGTTCGGCGCTACCGTCGCCTTAAGCCTCCACTACAATGATTCTCGGTTCTGTCTACAATGGTCGTAGTCGTAGTCGCTCGATAAGTCCCAGTCTACAATAGATGATTTAAGCCCTAAGCTTTAAGAAATTGGCCAATCACGGTCAAGTATGAGTAGAATGCGCGACTGTCATTAGTTAATTTCTTAGTCCCAGTCTACAATAGAGATTTAAGCCCTAAGCCTTAAGAAATTGACTAATCACAGTCGCGCATTCTTCTCATACTTGACCATGATTGGCCAATT